GGCGGCATCCCCCGCCGCGGGCCGTGGTGGCCCCGCGGGGCACCGAGCCCCTCGGCTGCCCGCACGGCACCGCCTAAATCCCGGCGCTCGGATCCGCCCGAGGTGCAGCTCAGCTAAACTGTCCTCGCAACAAAACCCCCCAAAAGGGTTTTTTTTTCCTGTTTAATCGTATCCCCCCTTAATTGTGTTAAAGGATGTCTTTTTAAGCGTGAACTGGCAGTAAGCGTGTGAGAAGGTCCCTGGAGGATGTTAGTGACAATGTCGAATGTCCCCCTGGTTCTCCGCAGTGCAAACGCTGGGGGAGGCTCTCCTGTGGCGCTGTGGGCCACTGCCATGGAAACAGGGAGCGGAGCTGGGCAGGAAACGGGCACAGGAAAGGTTTGTGCAGGAAAAAGTTGCGTTGCTGAAACTAAAAAAACCATAAAAATTTCAGCATTTGCATTATACAATGATCCCAGCAGGTGATGCAGTGCCCTCAGTGGTCCACTGCTGAACTGGTAGGCCCTTATATGAAATGACTGGAAAAGTCACAACGAAAACCTGAAATTCTGATTCAAATCGCTTTGGCAATTTTTTCCAGATTTCTCAGTGATTTTTTTTTTTTGGAGGAGGAGGAGGAAAACAATTTTTTTTTATTGGAAGAAGCGCAAACCTCCAGCAGTAAAAATGTCTTGTAATTCTTTTATTTGCAGCAGACTAGCAGTAGGACAGCGTATGGCAGTTAAGAGTAAACCTAAATGGAGCCAGAGCCTGATGGGCTACCCGTCCGGTTGTTGGAAAAACCAGTTTCTTCCTTGAGCTGCATCGGGCACTGGCTTCCAGCCGGATTTGCAGCTCCCGGAGCTGGAAGGGTATGCACAGGGTGGGTGGGTGCTTGCGCGCACGTTCCCGCAGCATCCCTAGCGGATGCAGGTGCTGGGCGCAGCGTTTGTGAGGGGAGCGCACCCTCCTGGCGCGGCCTCCACGGCCTCTTCGGCGGGTGGCGCAGGCGGGACTGCAAGAGTTAACCGGGAGCGTTGTTTGTGAGCAGTGCATGCGGTAACGAGATTACCACTAATGAGCTTAGCCTGGGACAGGCTGAACCCTGATGAGTTCCTCTGCGTCTGCGGCCACCCCGAG